AGATGGTTTGTTTGTCTGAGTCACGCGAAAGGTATCATATTTCGTGACGTAATAACCGCGCTGCGCTATTGCGGAAGTTTGCCTTCACCACGCCCTAAAATCACGCGAGCATGAATCCTTAGATGTTGTGCTCTTGCTCGAATGCTTGATATGACTTCTCGCATTTATTTTATCTCCTGTGGTGTTTGACCTTCACTGAGCCCGGACGTGATCAAGGTTACGAATGAACCATAAGTTTATTCACATTTTAAATTGCACTAAATTTATTCAATGGATAAGATTAATCCGTCACGGAATAGCGCCATACACCCTTCGTACAACCGGATCCTGATGTTCAACATAAGGGAAAAAACATAGCGAAAAAGGAAATAAGAAAATGAATTTAAGGTATTTTACACGGCCCACAACTTGAAATGCGCTTTTCCGGTTCCTTTGTGGTATCAACTGACGTCACTAAATAGTATTTTCACCCACGTTCTTGGGCATTTAAATTTACCGCAGATTCAGATAAAGTTACTTCGGGATAAACTTTGGTTTTAGAATGACACTAATGATGACGAGTTTAAAATTACACAAATTAATCGATCGACGCGTAAGTCGAATTTAATCTGATTAGGCTTCCTGAATGGCTTGATGATGCCGGCTTCATGATGCCTGTGTAGAATTAGAGATTTTCGCAACTATATAAGACGTGGGCAATTCAGCTCTTTCTCGCCCCCAAGCCCCACACGGCCTCTGGCACCCGTATTCAGGTCTCAACAAAATGTGTCTACGCACACACATCTCACGTGACACTTCACATATTACGTCATTTCCGTTCTTACGATGCATAAGACGGTATCCTTAAGTGCCCTTGTACTAAACAACGGTGTCCTGCAGGGTAACATTATCTTCTTTGTGTGTGGCATAAGATATAAGAATAATTAATGCAAATCCATTTTGAATAGAAATTAAATGATTAGAGCTTGACTGAAAGTAGCCTGCGTGGACACTAGAGAAAAACGTTTGCGCATGCGTGCACTTCAGCACGTTTTCTAAGAACTTTGAAGAGTTTGAGTGAGAAAATTAATGTTTGTTTTCTCCAAGTATACAAAAAAGTAGTATGCTTTTGTCAGACTAAGATACTGTATTAACAAACACAATATGAAAGAATTAGCCTTAAGTTTCAAGCATGGACACTAAGTTTTTGCATTTTGTGAAGTCCAATTTATCAGGCATGTTTGAAAGTCAAATTTACATGTGTTTGGATAATTTACATACGGATTCAGAGCACGCGCAGACGTTTTTCACTCGTATCGCCTGCGTGCAGCCGAACTAACTAACTGTTAGACTGAGAACAAAAATTAAACGTCACAATTTTGGAGGGCTGGTTGCACCAATGCTGCTTGATTCGGCAATTACCCAGTTTCACAGTACACGATGTGACGGAAGCAGATGTTATCTCCCGCGTCTCTCCAAGGGCCTCTAAACCTCCTTTAGAAAACAAGACGCCCTATAGGCGTTCACTGGATTGCCTGTATCATGCACAGAGGCATAGTACAGCTGAAGAAGTTTGCAATGTGAGCCAACAGATAATGGAATGTTTCACAGAAAAGAATGATTTCGTTTAACTCGTCTAAGACGATCTTTTCCCTTAAGGTGTTCTCTACACAATAGAGAGTTTTAGATTGACTTTTTTTTCTCCCCGCAAACGGCAAACGTGACCACGCTTTCATAGTTTTCGTGTATTTTACTTTACCTTTTACAAACCTTCTCACCAAGCGCAAATACTCTTTTGTTTTTCTACTACTTGGACTTTTTTGCGATTCTTTTTCAGTAATTTAAAAGAATTTTTTACTGGTCAACTGACGTTTCACGTTTGCCGTGAACGTAAATCTAAAACTCTCTAATGTTAAAATAATTGCAGGTTCTGCCCTTTTTAGGCTATGAATTAAACAGTTTTGCGTTATGCATGTCACACCGACTTGGGAAAATGCGCAATAGTAGCAAGAAGTCTTTATGGCACTAGTCCTTTGCGGGCATAGTAAATGCAAGTACAGTAAATGTTCTTGTCAGCAATCTTTGTCAGGAAAGATAGGAAAGCAAAGCTCTACTAGATATCGCTTAGTGACTGATAACGTCTGATCGAACTTATACAGGCTTTTAAACAACCGAATAGGAATAAATCTTTTTTCACTAAAAAGATTGCCTTATTGTTGAAAATTTAAATCTAATAAAAAATAGATTGAAAAAAAAAAAAAAAAAAAAAAA